CTTTTGAAGTGAGATGTTTCTCTTAGCAGGAGGCCACACTTYGACTAGTCCTTGTTTTTCTCACTGTCTTTTCTTCCTGGCATTCCCATGTTCCCTCATTTCTCTTCTGCTTTTTGWACTGCTGTAATTCTTTCTCTTGCAAAACTTATGAAGCTGCTTTGCTTGAAAGTGTTCGTGTTTTGCATGTTTAGTCCCCTAAAGATCTCCACCACATTATCCCACTCTGTCCTGGCATAAAACACAGAAGATAGATCCRAACCTGTGAGCCTGTGAGTATCAGTTTTGCAAAATGCAAATCTCTCTAATCTCCCTCTGAAAGAACAGGACTAAGATTTGGTGCATTTGGTGCATCACAATATCAGGCCCATTGCTTCTAGTAGGTCTTGATCTTGTTAGAAGAAATCATGTTAGAAGAAATATGAAAACACATGTAATAAAGTCAGGAATTTGAAAAGCCAATTTAGAGCCAAAGGTAATCCTCTCATTCAGCACTTTTTTTTTTTTTTTTTTAGATACTGGCCAGCCACAGGTATCCTAAAACTAACTCAGATGTTTTCTCCCTGTGCTTAAAACCTTACCATATGTGGAGTCAACACTTCTGAAAATCCAGTGTGAAAATCCAGTGCTAAGCCAATGATTATTAAGGGACGCCTTTAATAACACTGAGCTGGTTCTAATTTCATCATAAACATAACTAGTAATGGGAATATTTACAGGCATCCTTGAACAATTTCATTGTTAGCTCTTTTCCTGAGGATGTGAAATCAAGAACCATTAGGAGTAAGGGAAGAAGGAATTGAAGAGCTCAATTGTGACAAAATCCATTCTTCAAGAACAGGCTGAAATGCAGCAACTGCTGCTCCTGCTTAGCACTGATTAGACTGCATTCATCTCAACTGAAGTGTAAGAGACTTGGTGATGCTATTTCTGCTACAGGATCAAAGATGAGAACAGACAATAAAAACGACTTCCAGACAGAACTGTGTTAGATGGAGTTATTATTAAATCATTTCTGTGTCAACTGAATAGCACAGTGTCATATCAGATTTGCGGAAATCTTTGAGATCTCAAATAGCAAGATTATACTATAACAGAGGCCAGTTATTTACAGCAGCCAGAGAAACTTGTTGCTACTAGGTGATATAACACTCAAGCTCATTCTGTCATGCATTGGGTTACAATCTACATAAAGTTGAATTTATTATATATAGGGCTGAATCTGGTTCAAAGTCTGCTGAATAAAATACAGCTAAAATGTAAAGCCTGATCCTGTAGATTTTATTTTGGCATATCTTGTTCAATACAAGAAGCAGTCCCCTAAAAGTTTATTAGGCCTAAACAGTTCTTCAACAAAACTGTCACTGAAGAAATATAGTATTCAACAATGGTTAAGAAAAGAAAGAAAATTGGAATTGCAGAGAAGGGGAAGGGGCAGTAATGGTGAAGAGGCAGTTAGGAAGTTCTTGTAGACTATCGTAGGCCTAATTAGTGCCAGAAGAGAAGGCTTTCTACAGAGCACCAAGGATGCAGCTTAGGCAAGTATAGTGTGAAGAGGAGGTAGCTAGAGAAAGAAAAGGTCTGTATGACACATTGCACATTGTACTTTTTAAGGATGAATGRTCCTTGAATCCCAGGGGTACTGGACGTACTGAAGTCACATATCATCTTGTCTCCACTGAACAAAACATGGCCAGGGCTTTTGCTTGCTCATATTGGAAGACACTACATGCAGAAATAAAGGAGAGCTCTTACAGTCTGGTAAGAATGAGCACAGCTGCTTAAGGAAGCATTATACACCTCACTGCCAAGGATTTGGACATCCCAGAGGGCTGTTCACAATCATCAAGCTCCAATATCATGCAGCTCTCATGAGGTACAGCTTGAAGGACTACTGTGTACTAGCCCTGGGAGGGTCGACTCTGTCATATACAAAGCTCTTTCCCTCCTTGCTGGCTATGATCATTTACTGAGCACATCAGAAGTCAAACAGCAAAATGTGCGGGAAACCACAGAATCAACAGCTTATTCATGGATTATGATTATTTAGTTCTGGCCCAAAAGGTACCAGATATATTATTTTACTGTTAAAAAAAAAAAAAGAAAAGAAAAGAAAAATTGCATTGGCCCCATCCAGAGCACAATTATCTGACATTGCAGGATGTAAGGGATATTAGAGAAAGGGAGAGGCCAGGACAAGGAAAAGAAAGAGTTTTATGAATTCCTCCTGTGTAAAGAAGGATTAGCCCCTTAATCTTTTAAGCAAAATTATTCACAATTTACATGAAGAAACTGATATGGAAGTAAGAACCAGAGCTTGGTTAAATGTTCAATGCAATTTCACCTACATGGCCAAAAGGAAAAGGGCAGGTTTCCACTTGGTGTGCTGCAGGGCTGCACATTTGTCAGTGCTGCAGGAGGTGCACAGCTGCCCAGGAAGAAATGAAGGGCAACTGCTTTTGGTAGTGTTTAAACATATTCTGGGTGCAAGTGACCATAAAATCATGATCTTAGCRGGCAAGGCCTCTTGCTCTTTACCCTAGAGATGGAAGGATCTGAAAAGATTCCTTGTTCAAAACTYATTCTTGAGGTTGTCACCTCATTCAGCCTAACCCTTCTCGCCTCCTCCCCTTCCATGATTCCCATTCAGGCTGTGGGAGCTGTGCATACATCGGGGTTAAAAGAGTAGAAAGTAAAATCACCAGCTGAACAAACCCTCAAAGTCTTTTGAGGAGTTGAGCAGATACCACTTGGGATGACTTGGCCTTTACATTCCCATCTCTCATGGAGCATAGGTGCCTAAGAAAAKAGAAACACATTTGAGACAGGAGAGCCCAAGAGCCTTTCAGATGAAAAGGTGTTTGCCTAGCAGAATATCTAWATGGAGACAAAAGATTCTTTGAAAGGTTTTGTGTATACACTTTCAGGACTTGGAACACAGCACAAAAGACTTTTCAACTAAAGAGAAAAGACCTGTATATGCGGAGTCCATTAATGAGAATGAACAATGTGGTATATTTTAAGACTTTTGATAATATTAGCATTTCTTTCAGAAAACAACAAAATACAAGTTATTTCATCTCTTAATCTTACATTATGTTTCTGTTGTATTTACTTGTGCATTCAGTGTGAGAAAAGTCACTTCTCATGAGAATAAGGGTTTCAAGAAAGCAACAGCAGTTTCCACACGCCCTCAGATGGAAGATAAATTTCATGTAACATTGTAGATACAAAGATCTGTCTGAATTTCTTAGGTTGAGTAGGTCGATAGTGGGGATCTTGTTATGCTGTAGCAGTATCTAAACAGGCCTGTCCATAACTAAGATACTGTGTTTTCTTAATAGTTACAGAATAGGATATGTTATACAGGGTATGTTATACAGGATAACATATATACTATATGTATATACAGAATAGGATATTCAAGTTGTGTAATTTGGGAATTGATGGAATGTATGCAAGTATGAGCAAGTATATGTGGTACTTTTYGTATGATAGCTCACTTTCAATTTTTGCTTTGTCATCAGATCAAATTTTAAAAATAAATAAAGAAGCTACCCCTCCAAATTYGTAGGATTCCAAAGAGAAGAGACACATTATTTTTAGTCACAACTCTAAGCATGCATGTCTGTCTACAAATAAAACTAAAAGCCAATGCTGTAAACTAAGGCCAATGCTGTGACAGGCCTCGCGTATATTTCATCTTAAACACTGAACATGCATTTTGATAGCAACCGAATTACTCAGTGCATAAAGCTGAGGATCAATACATCTGCACAGTATCCAGAATTGGAAGTTTATTGCCTGGCTAGCTTACAAGTGCTATCAAAAGTGACGGCATAGCTTAAATATTTAATAGTGTTAGAATGAGGCTTTTGTCCTTTCTGTATCTGTATCTTTACAAAACATGGCATGTTATGTGGGTTACATTGCAGGCTGTTTGCAGTGTGTTTATTGAGTATGGAGGACAAAGGAGTTCCAGTACTTTCTCAAAACCAGCCCAATGTCAACGTTTTGTTTGTAATAACAACAGTGTTGTTCAAGGAGGGCATAATACACCCTGCAGGGACGCGTATTAAAAATAACAGCAATGAGTGAAGGAAGGCTTGTTGAGGGCTCACCGAGGAGAACCCCAACAAGCCGCTCCGTTAAAACCACAGAGCAAAAGCGGGACGAGGTAGGGAACCTCTTCCATCCTCCTGCTCCTCCCTGCGGAGCTGCCCCCTTGGTCGCTGAGGGCAGGGCGCGACCGTTGGCCGCCCCCGACCACCCGGCAGAGCGACCGTTAGGCGCCGCCTCTTTCTCCTCACGGCGACCGTTGGGCGCCCTCCGCTCCCCCGCCAGGCGGCCGTTGGGCGGGACGAGCCGTGCCCTGCTTCGGGGCGGCCGTTGGGGGCTGTCGCCRCCTCCCTCCCTCGCCGCCGGGCGGGCGTTGGGGGCTGTCGCCGCCTCCCTCCCTCCTTTCCTCCCTCCCTCGCCGCCGGGCGGCTGTTGGGGGCTGTCGCCGCCTCCCTCCCGCCCTCCCTCGCCGCCGGGCGGGCGCTGGGGGCCGTGGCCGCAGCTCGGATGCGCGCGGCTCGCCGCAGGCTGCGGATGACACGGGCCAAGGAGCTGCTCGCCTACTGCCTCCTCCTGGGGCTCTCCTTCCCCCTCGTGCTGCTGCTGCTGCTGCTCTGAGATGAGCCGG